TTTCAGAGCCAAACTCACAGTCTACAACCTTGGTGGGTGTTAAATACTGGTAGAAGTAAAAGCTTTCCTGAAGGCGCACCACCTGTGTGCCTTAGTCTTCCTTTTAACTCTTTAACTTGCCTTAGGGTGGTGGTATGTGGGTAATAAATTATAATAATAACAGCAACTTTTGAAACTTTACAGCTTGGGAATCTTCTTTATGAAAAACGCCACTATGAAAAGGCGAAATGGGCTTGCGTCAAAGTGCAAGAAAAGCAGTATGAACAGAGCATATGCCTAGGATTCATGAAGATTATGAGATACATTTGTCAGCAGAATTCATCAGGTAAATAATCAACTGTCAGACACACATACTACATTATGTTTTGTTCTGACTGCACCACATTACTTATAAATGCGCCATTTGATCCTGCAAGGAGAATTCTCAAATGCAAAATTTCCCAAGGCTGCAAAATTTGATTCCATATGTGTGATGTAACTTCACAACTAGCTGACAGGTAATGTCATGAAATTACTAATGATGATATGCTTTCCTCAGGCCTATACTTAGGGATGACTGTTCCCATTGCAACCATAGTTCGCACCAGTGAGAGCACTCCAGGCATCACGAGATTTGTGACTGTAGCATATTACCTCCCCAGTGGGCTGCAAGAACAGCCACCTGCACCCAATGATCCAGATGTTGTCATTGAAGAGTGGCCTCCAACCATTATTTATGCCAGGTAAGAATCAAAAGTTGCCTATCTAAAAGTTGCTGAAAATCTCACCATCATGACACATTCTTTTCCATGGATTCATTCCAATCACTGAACAATTCAAAACCAAAATCCTCTCATCCACATACTCAGCATTTCATGTTTACTCCTCACTAACCATGAGCTGTAACCATGGTTTTTTCATGCACCTGGAAAGGAGCAAAGCCCCTTTGACCTCACCCTCTGGGAACTCTCACACTCCCAGTAAGCCTAGTTTGGCTTAGTGTGACAAACCAGGCAAGTGTGTGTTTATAGATAACTATTTAATTCTAATTAAGCAAGAAGCAGTCTGAGACAAAATCAAGCAAGTGTTAAGACCTTGTCAGGTATCTTGGCTCCAGCTACACAGTGCCTTCTGGATATCTCTTTAAGTTGATGAAAAAGGAGGATATGTTTGTTTAAGCACATTTGTATCCTGGTATTGGGCTTCTAAAGCAGCTTAACTATAACTACCAACACACACACCAACTAAAATCTCAGTCTTGAAATCACTGGATTGTATCCAACTCACTCAACTAATACTTTCTCCCTCTTTTTCCCTGCAGCCCTTCGCGACCCCCCCCAGCCCCACTCAAAAGCCTCTCCAGAGGGTCAAAGGTGGTTGCCCAGACCCTTTGGAGGAGCTTTTTATGGGGGGCAGGAGGGGAAGGGGAAGATTGGTTATGCGAGCTGCCTTCTACTCACCCTATTTTTTAAAAAAATTCTATTTATTTAAATTCTATTTATTTAAAATTCTATGTTTGCTATTCTGGGTTCCCATGGGAGGAAGGACACCAGACTACAAATGCAGAATATCTGTATCAAATAGTTGTGTGGAAACAAGCACAAAAATCAACAAGCACTGAGAATGATACGTGGCATGCAGAATTCAGCCTCTAACAATCTCAACACTCTCCCCAGTCCACTTTTTATATGTGTGCGCACACGCACATATACAATATAAACAGAGAAATGGGTAGTTTCCAGCATTTGTGACTTCAGGGATCTTGTTGATGTCACGGTCCCATTTTCAATCTACAATCAAGGGATTGCTGTAAGTCTAAAACGAATAAAATATTATTTTAAAATGGCTTGTTCACAGGGGCTTCAGAGGAGTCACCAACGAAACGTCCATTGCAAGAGAAATCAATCTGCTGGCCGAACTTCTGGAGAGTCCTGAGCTGTGTTTGCAAGATACCTTCATAGTTGCAGGATACACAAATCCAGCTGCTACAAATCGACAGAACGAAATATGGTTTCTTGAAAGACCATAGATGGCTATTTTTGAGCTACAAGACGGCCAAGTTCCATTGACGGATCACTCATGAAACACGCAGGTGAACTCTAGTCAGCTAGCTGGAATGATCAAGAATGATATGTAGCCATTAACTTTATAAAGCCTATTTCCTAAGAAAACACGAATATCACATTCCACCAGCATAGCCTGGCAGACAAACCAGCTTCCTTCCTCAGCTATTAAGAAGGCAAACTTGGGGTGTCTGTTGCCAGTTCTGAAGGGTTTTTCCTAGTTGTTGCTTCAGTTATGTGTAGTCACTAAGATTTCAAGCACTTTCACCAAAATTAAGACATAGGAGATATTCTGTATTAAGAGAAATAAAGTCTTCTGTTCCCTTGGCATCCCTCCCAATTCTACACTTCTGTGATTCTTCCCAGTATTTATTCTGACATGCAAGAGTGCTTCACTAACTCAATGGTTTACTTTTGAAGTTGTAGGTAAAACTGCACAATTTTTGAACATTTTATCTGATGCTACACAATCGCCATTCATTTGAGAGAGGCTACAGAGGTAGATCCACCAAAATGAACTGCATTGTCTGTAAGCAAATAATACCCTAGCAGACGCTAACAGTAATTATTCCTCATTATTACACAAGTTTATTTTTATAGATACAATGCTACTGACTATTTTCTTCTGAATATCTACTATAGGTGAACAGAAATTGCTACCTCCTTTATCAACAGAAATAGTGTTTTATTGTACAGTGGTACGTCTGGCTGTGAACGGGATCCGTTCCGGAGGCCCGTTCGCAACCTGAAAAGAACGCAACCCGTGTCTGTGCGGGTCGCGATTCGCCGCTTCTGCGCATAACGTCATTTTGCACGTCTGCACATGCGCGAGCAGCGAAACCCGGAAGTAACCCTTTCTGGTACTTCCAGGTCGCTGTGGGACGCAACCTGAAAATGCGCAACCTGAAGCAAACGTAACATGAGGCATGACTGTATACATTGTTGGTATCTTGGCTGTGAGTCCTGGAAGACTTGTTCCCTGCCCTGCAGGCCTTTCTCCACCTGCCCTGCTAGGGCGAGGCCCGGACTGACTCCAGCTACAAAAGCTGAGGCTGCTGAACAGACTCTAGAGGATTTTGTTGGAGGTGGGGTGTTGCTGTTAATTTTTTGTATCTTTATTTTGGTTCATACAATTTGTGTGGCAATTGTTCAGTTTGGTTGTGTACTTTTTGATGTTTTGTTTATTGTTTATGACTACTTTTGTTATGTCTGTAGCTATGTATTTTTTATATGTTGTAAGCCACCTTCAGCACAGTTTAAACTTTGCTAGCCCACAAGCAAATAAAATGATTGACCGATATTTAATTTGAATGGTTATCAGAAGGAAATTTCACATTCTGAGAATACCATTTTTTCACTCGTTTTGAAAGAGGCCATTATCCAATTAGCCAACTAGGATACAAAATGAAATCTTTTGTAAGTCGTATTTTAAAAAAATCTAATTCAAGTCTAGAAATAATAAAGCTGGAATCCTAATTGCTAATTTACCTGTGCAAGCTATACGTCGTATCTTGTTTACTGTTGGAAGTTGCCATGAATAAAAACTTTATTGCTCTGTGTTATCCCAAGTTTATTATTTATTTCATAAATTTACACACTATTTGATTGCAACCTAAAAGCAATTTTGATATATTAGTTAAATCACCGGCATCTTTTTCTTAAAAAAGTTAGCAAAGCGTCCAGGTGAACTTTTGTTGCTCTCAGTTTCCCCACTTGAATTGGATACCTTCCTCTATTTCAACACCACAGACAGAATTTTATAAAAAAGAATCAGTAAAATTACTTGTATTGGAAGAGGAACGCATTGTACAACCTGGATAACATGGAACGGAGACTTTAATTTCAGCAAGTCATATTAGATAGGAAATGGGCATAGAACTTGGCAATATAGTTGTCTAGGGTCACCTAGCCCTCCTCCCCAGTCAGGTGGGAGCATTGCAAAAGCTTCCTGCATTGCAGGGGGTTCGACTAGATGACCCTCGGGGTCCCTTCCGACTCTACAATTCTATTATTAAGGAGCGCGGGTTATGGAGCAATCCGCAGAAACTATTTTCAATAGCCCACATGCCCCCAGGCTTACAGAGCAGCTGCCACTATGTGCTTGTAAACTACCAACCTGGGGATGTATCATACCAATTCCATTTAGCACCCACAAGTACAAAAAACATTGAACAACTGGCCTCTACAAGTTCTCTGAAAGGAACTGCTCCTTCTGCAGCTGTTCTCCCATCTGTCACAGCACACCTGTCTTTAACCCTACACAGACACAGAGCCTCAAGGTAGACTCTGCTAAAACGCACACAGAAATCAAACAAAACCTCTGTAGAAGACAGTAAAGGCGGCCTGAAATACCTCTGCATCACACTATCACTTGCTCAATGCACTTTTATGTTTTGTGTGGCTTTTCAGCAATGATGGCTTCATTTCAAGACAGGCTCATCTGAGACTGAGGCACAAAAAGCAACAATGCCACTTGCATTCTTTCACCACCTAAGAAAAACCAGGACAGTGCCCATAATCCCTGCCAGCAGAAGATCCCAACCCCAGTTCACGGCTATGTAATATACACTGGTCAGATTGGAGCTCCAAAGGCCACTTTCTCCTAGGGACAGGACCCACTTAAGGAAAACAGGATGACAGTTTCCTGAGGATCCTTCACTGCATTCTTACAAGGAAGCCAACACTAGAATCTTCCACTCAGATGTCATTTAGTGAGAGACTAAAAACAACCATCATGATCAGGTACCAGTGACATTTTTGAAAGATTAAAGCAGCACTTATCCAAAAACAAATCCAGTTACAAAAGCGAAGCTGACCTTCTGTTTCACAGAACAAATGAAGACACCTCTTTAGAAGAATAAAAACAAGCTGCTTTCAACAAATGTTTCACCACCATTTCTGTTCTGAAGTCCTGCCTGCTGCCATTCTTGCCCACTCAATACGAAGTTCCTGGCTCACCTTGATGTAAGCATTACGAACTTCAGCCAGCTCCTTCCCAAGTGGAACAACGCATTTTTCAACCTGCCGCTGGTGAGTGTAAGGCTGGATATCGGGAGAATCTTCAGCACATAGTTCTATGTGTGAAATCAGCAGGTTGGAAATAACTTGCTGCACAGCCTGCAAGGAAATGGTAAAAAGTCACCATCTGGCTGTATTTTACTTAGCATCATGTTAGCACAGTAAAAATCGGGCATACAGTAGTGCCTCGGGTTATGCTGCCCTTGGGTAATGTAAACTTCAGGTTGCAAAAGCGGCAAACCCAGAAGTGTTTTGCACCCCCCGCACACATGCGCAGAAGCGGTCTACCGCCGCGCGCATGCATGTAACAGTGATCCTCAGGTTGCGAAAACCTCGGGATCCAGACGGACCTCCGGAACGGATCCCATTCGCAACCAGAGGTAGCACTGTAGTTTAATGTATATACTATACATTATTATAGTACTTTCTTGATCTCCTTGATCTGCCCTCGGGCAGAAGATGTAGAAGCCTGATTAGTCGCACCAACAGGGTAAAGAACAGCTTCTATCCGTGGGCTGTTAGGCTGCAGAATGAAAAGATAACAACAGGGCTACTGACTTTGGGGTTTGGTGGGTGTGCGTCAGTAAACGAGGGGAATTAAGACTAAGAGAGCTGAGTGGGGGGGGGTGTGCTCGTGTAACCTCACTGTATACAAGTTGTACAAGTGACAATAAAGTATTTCAATTCAATTCAATTTCTGTATATTACACTGTTTCAGGGGTGTCCAACTTCCAAGAGACTGAGATCTGCTCCTACTATAAGTAAACTGGCAGTGATCTACCCATTGGAATGACCAGAATTGAGCTTTTTTTGGAAAGAAGGACCAAAGTTGTTGAGCTGTTGCACAGGCCCGCACGATATTGTCAGGACTGGTCGTTGTCCTCTTCAGATCACCACAGAAACGCTTCTTGTTCTTTTATAAAACTTTTTATTGCGTATTAACAAAACATTCTTATAAACAGTTCTTAACTCTTCTTCCTCAGAGTCCCTTCTTTCAGCTACCTTCTGAGCTCTGCTTCTCCATGACCAGCCACTCTCCAAATGGCGAAGGCGCCCTTCCCTTCGCTTTCCCGCTCTTTTTTCTAACCTCCTGGCTAGAGCTGGCTTGGATCTCCTCTCCTCCGAATCTGAGCTAGAACTGAACCCTGGCCTTTCCTGGGAACAGCCGGTCCCTCCCTCTTGTTCCTCTTGCTCCCTTCTGTTAGATTCACTGCTCTCCTCCCCCCCTTGGGGAATGCTTTCTCCCTCTGAGAAACTGAAAACCTCTAACTCTTCCCTGACAGATATCATGTAACATTTACATCCCTAGGTTAGATTAATAGTATTATCACAAGGACACAAGTCCAGCATCCTGTTCTCACACCCGCCAACCAGTTGTCCCAAAGGCCTTGAGCAGGACAGAAGCACTCTCCCAACTCACAATTCCCAGCAGCTGGCACTCAGAGGTGCCACTGAAGGTGCAAGTGGAACACCAGCTGACTGGGGGCTTCAGCAAGATTTATTTATTTATTTATTGAATTTATATACCGCCCTATACCCAGATGTCTCAGGGCAGCTCACAGAAAAGATCAACATAAGAACCACAAAATATATAATCAAAATAAAAACAACCCAATAACGCCCTCCTCCTAAAAAGAGCCACATTTTAAACGGGCATGGGATGCCAAAGCAAGCCCCTTCATCCCCAGGTCCTTGGATTAACCGGACTTGAATTACCTTTGTGTCACTGCCAGGAGTGGCACTTAGAGCCAAAATACGGAACTGCCGCGTATATTTGCATAATTCTTTCACAACCTGAAGAAAGAAATAGCTTTCATCGTCACTGTTATGCTACTGTATCTGAAAAACAAATCTCAACAAGACAGGCTCCCAAATGACATGCCAAAGCCCTCCTAGTTCACGCCAAAAGCTCATCTAGAGCAGAATTTTATTTATTTTTCATTGGCTTACTTTTTCTGGCATACGGGGGGTGGGGGGTGGGAAGAACAAACAAAATCTCCTGGCTTGGATGCAACGCTAATCCGGGGTTCATGGCTGGTTTCTTCTATATGCTAAGAGAAAGAGACCAGCAGCACAGAAAGCCACCTTGTTTACTGTGACCTGTGAAGTGGGGATTGAGACAGCTAGCTTTTGCTTCCCAGTTAAATCACAGGACCTCAGAGCCATCTAGAGGCACAAGACAGGCATCCATCTGATACTTCTTGCTGCTAAACTTCTTGTAAATATTGCAATAAGAAAACCCAAAAGTACAGTGCTTTTTTCAGCATAATACAGTATATGAAAGACTTCGTTAAAAACAACCTTTCAGGAGACAAACTTCATTTCCCCACTACTCTTCCACTTGTTCAGAATGGATTACTTGGAGTCTCCAAAAAATTCAGCCATTATTCAGTCAGGAACCAACTAGGCTGGGAACTGGTTAGTTTTAACAAAATTAACAGCAACTAAAATGTTTTCTTGAACCCCTTGATTCATGGCATTTTTTATATCACTTTTAAAGTAAGGCTGTGACATACATAAATCCTCAGAAAGTCATAATCAAACCCCCTACCACAGATCTAAATTTATAGTTAACAATTTATGTTTCAAGTTGCAAACAGTCACCCTACCTGACAATAAGCATGATTTCCAAGAGCTCTGTGGGCTTCATCAATAACCAGACATTTAATTTTCACTGCAGGACACACTCCACGGGAAAGGTCATTTGCCATTATCTGAGGCGTAAGAAAGAAAACCCTCTTATTTTGCCAGATTTCTTTCCGATCAGCCACCTGAGTACCTCCTGAAACAACACAAGCAAGCATTTAGAAAGGCACCTAAAACCCCACTATGGTTTCACTGGCGATTCACAGAGAGGCCACGCTTCAGCAGTGTTTGCTGCCAACAGATCCATTCTTACACTTAAAACAAAGGGTCCAAAACAAACAAAGGAGTCCTTACATTTCTAGCCAGAGACCAGTTTTCCATGTTGGAGCATCTTGGAGTAAAAGGCAAAATATGGCACATGTCACATGTGAAAGGAAGACATTGGTGCAGATGCTTATTGTGAACTGCCCTAGAACTAAATCTGGCCAAGGGAAATCCCTTCCAGCTCTATAATTCTTTGGTTGTTTTTTTAGCCGAGATTCCCTTGTCTACCTCTGCAGTGCCTGAAAACCACCAGGTCCTGCATCCACAGCAGTGAGCAGAGGAGGAATGACCGCTGGGAGGAGCGCGGAGAAGAAACGCCCTGGTGCATCTGCAGGAGCGCAACTGTACGCCTTTCTCTGCCCCAAGCGTGTCTCTCCTGCATCAGCCTCTAAAGCCATGACAGGTGCTGCAACTCTCCAACCACCTGCTTTTATTCCTCCACTGTCTCCAGAGAGAGACCGGTGCCACAGGAATGTTTAACTGCCTTTGGGGGGAAAAAGATTGCTTCCCCCTCCCCAAGTTTTTAGCTGTTCTTAATTTTATCCATAAAGTGCCTTGAGCCCGTCAGGGGAATACAGTGGTACCTCGGGTTACATACGTTTCAGGTTACAGATTCTGCTAACCCAGAAATAGTGCTTCAGGTTAAGAACTTTGCTTCAGGATGAGAATAGAAATCATGTTCCAGCGGCGCGACAGCAGCAGTGGGAGGCCCCATTAGCTAAAGTGGTGCTTCAGGTTAAGAACAGTTTCAGGTTAAGATCGGACCTCCAGAATGAATTAAATACTTAACCCGAAGTACCACTGTAAATGTTTTATTATTATTAGGCTTCTAACCCCCACTGTTCATTATTACTATTATTGTTGTAAGCCAGAAAATAGCTTATCTCCTGAGTTTATTCCAATAAAACTCAGAAGGGTGAGGAGTTAAGGGTCCAACGTTGTTTATTGCAAAGCAATAGGTTACAGTCAGATCGTTCTGCAAAACTGCAACCCCACCCGGTGGTCCAGGCAAAGTATTTCATTTTTCACCAATCAAACACATCATTACCGCACTTCGTGTTTAACACACACGCACAATTTCTGCTGATTAAGTTCTGATTCCCACCGTGTGCTGTTACATTGTGTTAGTGTGCATGTTGGGAACCCGTGTTGCGCGCAGCCATTTGCACCATGTAGCAACTTACGTTTTAGCTTACAGCTGTATCTTTGTGAATCACATATTAGCTATATTTCTGCCCCAATTTTGGGGGGAGGCAGCTTGCAAAATCATCGGTTTCATAAAGCAACAGGTTGCCATAACTTCTCTATTAGAAGCGAACTCAGGGATTTCCGGGCTACACATTATCACATTTATTGTGGCCCTCTGGGCCACTGCCACATTATTGCATAATTAAATTGGTCAGAGTTTAACTGAATTAATAATAACAGTAACAGTAATATCAACAACAACAATAACTATAGTAATTCCTGGGACCTGTGAGGAGGGCCATCCTTGGGCTCCCCCACCCGCCTCTGTATTATAAATAATAAAGCCACTTATTTGTACCCTGCCCATCTGGCTGGGTTTCCCCAGCCACTCTGGGCGGCTTTCAACAAAACACTAAAATACAATAATCTATTAAACATTAAAAGCTTCCCTAAACAGGGTTGCCTTCAAATGTCTTCTAAAAGTCTGGTAGCTCTTTATCTCCTTGATATGTGAAGGGAAGGAGTTCCACAGGGCGGGCGCCACTACCAAAAAGGCCCTCTGCCTGGTTCCCTGTAACTTGGCCTCTCGCAGTGAGGGAACCGCCAGAAGGCCCTCGGAGCTGGACCTCAGTGTCCGGACTGAACAATGGGGGTGGAGACGCTCCTTCAGGTATACTGGACCGAGGCCGTTTAGGGCTTTCAAGGTCAGCAGCAACACTTTGAATTGTGCTCAGAAATGTACTGGGAGCCAGTGTAGGTCTTTCAAGACCGGTGTTATATGGTCTCGGTGGCCACTCCCAGTCTCCAGTCTAGCTGCCGCATTCTGGATTAATTGCAGTTTCCGGATCACCTTCAAAGGTAGCCCCACGTAGAGAGCATTGCAGTAGTCCAAGCACCACTCTGGCCAGACACTCTGCAGGCAGGTGGGGCCTCATCCTGCGTACCAGATGGAGCTGATAAACAGCTGCCCTGGACACAGAATTGACCTGCACCTCCATGGACAGCTGTGAGCCCAAAATGACTCCCAGGCTGCGCACCTGGTCCTTCAGGGGCACAGTGACCCCATTCAGGACCAGGGAGTCCTCCACACCTGCCCCACACCCACCCTCTCCCTGTCCCCCCAAAACAATACTTCTGTCTTGTCAGGATTCAACCTCAATCTGTTAGCCGCCATCCAACCTCCAACTGCCTCCAGACACTCATTATTATTATGAGTATAATAATAATAACAACAACAACAGTAGAATAATAACAATAATAATATAATACTGTATAATAATAATACTGTATAATAACAACAGTAATAATACCAATAGTAATAGTAATTCCTGGGACCTGTGAGGAGGACCATCCTTGGGCTCCCCCCCTCCTCTATATAATAACTAATAATAACAATAATAATAGCAATTCCCGGTCCCCCCCGCGTCTCCCTCACCGGTGAGGGCGGCCATGTGTCGGGCGGGGATGGCCATGAGGGCGGCGCAGGCCTCCCTCTGCTGGGCGACCAGGGGCTTGGTGGGCGCCAGGAAGAGCGCCTTCCCTCCGGGGAACCAGCGGTAGAAGTTGCCCAGCACCACGGCCGCCACCAGGGTCTTGCCCAGCCCGGTGGGCAGGCACAGCAGCGTGTTCTGGAAGAGCGCCGCCCGCGCCGCCCGGGCCTGGTAGCCGCGCTCCTCCACGCCGGCGCCCGCCGGGAACAGCCACACCGAGCCCGCCGCGCCGCCCGCGAAGCCCACCGGACAGGGGAGAGGCGCCTCCTCCGCGGCTGCTGCTTCTTCGGGCGCCGCGGCCGGCGGCGTCCCCCACACCTGGAAGAGCGTCGCTTGCCGGTCGCCCCGGCCTCCGCCCCTCATGCCGCCGCCGCCTTCCCCTCACGAGCAGCTCCCCTCAGGCAGCGGCGGGCGGAGCAGCCGCCATCTTGAAACGGCCGCTCGGCCGCCCTCAAAAAGCCGCGCCATCACCGGCTGCGCGCCCTGATTGGCCGGAGGGCCGCCTGGGCGGGGTTTCCCCAGAGGCTCACGTGGTGAAGGGGACCCGGGAGGGCTTTCGCCGAGCGCATGCGCCGAGCGCATCGTGACGCCGTCCGTTTCCCGACCCAGCTTGATTTCAATGAAGCCTCGAAGCCAGAATCTCCCCAGTTCCTTTTTACGCCTGTGCAGTTGCTGGAAAAATTCTGGGATATCCGGTCATTTTAACGATGGTTTAGTACTGTTTCTAATGGTTCTTACATTGCTGTATGCTGATATTTTATGAGATATCAGCGTATCAATCATTTTCTGAAGCAATCAGAGCTTCTGAACTAATGCCCAGTGGCTCCATTTGGTTTGTGATAGGCATATTTATTAATAGACATATTTTCCATGAAGAAATAAAAGCCTCGAAGCGGTTTGCAAGAAAGATAAAGCCATATCAGGAAGGTAATGGACAGCCGTAAGTTGAAGCGGACGGGAGTTTGAAGCGGCAAGAGAGTAGGCTGAAACAAAGTAAAAATCATATGAACTTTCACTCTCTTCTTTTAAAAAAAATCTGTAATAGTTGCTTTTTATTGATTTTCCAACACGACCAAAATCGCACATACCAAATAAAACACACACACACACACAAAAACAAATTTCCAAAGAAACCAAGTCTGGGAAGGCAAATCCCCCTCTTTCCTTACTATCTATCAGTAATTTATGTTTTATCTTATCCTATTTTGTTTTGTTTTTGTTTTTGCCTTGCCAGATAAGCAGGGACCAGCATGGTTTCGAATTGGATGGGTGACCAAGGGCTGAAATCCCAGAAGTGCATGGGGCTGGACTAGATGGCCCTTGGGCCCCTTCCATCTCCACCAGTTCTTTGATTCTATGTACTTGGCAGGCACCGAAAAGAGGACAGTGGAGGCACCTGCTTGACATTAATAGGAAGGAGTTCCAGAGTCTAGGTGCTACCTGCCAGACTGAATTATCGAGTTTTTACAAATCATCACAGAATTTTGTTTCCCACTTGGGTACCGAAAGGTGCAGCTAACCAGTGAAATAAAAAATCTAAGGTCTTATATATATAATAAATGTTCATAAATGTACCAAGCAAACACGTACATAAATATATAAACCACATGTCTGAAGCAGCACAGGAAAGCAGCCCTGGAACCATTTTGACTCCCAAACTGACCAAATGATTTTTCTGCAAGGTCAAGGAAAATGGAAAAACCTCCCCATTGTCTTTTTATTCACAAATCATGTCTTAAGGGTATGTCTGTGTATGAATAGGGTGAGCCTGTGACCTGGCTCAGGAACTAAGTATTTGTCATTACAAAAGACTGGCCAGGCTCCCCAGGGGATCCAATCAAGTAAGCATTAACCGATAACCTGCCAGACAGCAGATAAACAATGACAGGAGATAAAAAAGGCACTCAGATTTCTGCTGTAGACTGCCCTTTCTGTGATGTACGTAGGTATGATGTTTCTGGGGATGGTCTTGGACTCCAGGGCACGCAATTTAAAATTTCTATATAAGGGCGGGCACACCTTTGTTCTGGGTCCTCCTCCTTTCCTGTGTGTGAGGGGATCACCCTGTTGCAACAGTTCAATAAAGATCAGGCTTAGGAGCTGCTTTGCTTCTCAATATTCTCTGCTTGGCCTCTGTTATTTTCTCCGACCGATGGAGAACCTGCAAAGGACTCTATAAGGGCTCTTGTGTCCCCCATAAGGGAATAAGGGCAGATTTATGTTTATTACACCAGCAACCTGGAAAGCTAGTTATTTAAAAGGTATGACCCTCTCTCTTGGTCAGGGGAGACCTTTCATATCTATCCAACAGAACAAAAGGACAATTAGTCCTGCAGTCAGGAAAGCAGATGTGGAAATTCCTCTTCAGTCCACAACTGCTACAACTCCTTTCTTCAAGAGAAGACAGACAGGCTGTCATACTCTCTCCTTTGGTATGCATGGTTATTCTGGTGGGAAGAGCATGAACTAGTTATTCTGAAGTATCTGAAGAAGTGTGCATGGACACGGAAGCTTATACAGTACCAAGAACAAACTTAGTTGGTCTCTAAGGTGCTACTGGACAATTTTATTTATTTTTTATATAGTTCTTTGTATAAGAGCAGCTTTGTCTCGTGACCAGTCTCCAGGAGGAGGGAAAGGAAGTGGGAAGTTCCAGTGCCAGGGAAAGGACCGGATTATCAAGCCTAAAGGGGGAGCCAAGTAAAATATCTTGAATAATAAAAGGGAAAGACTGGTGTTGCTGTCATTGTTTTGGTTGGGCTGGAAACTTTGCAAGTTCAGAGGTCCCACAACATAACCCAAGAGGATTCTTTTCCTCTCCCTTCAGCTTCTCCAGCAAAAGATAAAACTAGCAGCCTTGTGGCATTTGAAAGAGATGTAATGCATATCTGAAATAACTGTACAGCGAAGGGTCTGCACTAGAATGCTTTTTACGGCTCTGGTGGGAGTGCTGTTACTGTTACCCATTTCAATAAATTTCAGAGGAGTTTCTGTTATCACCTGTCAAAGCAAAACTAAATGAAACAGGGATACAAAGTCCCCTAGAAGTATCTATTTAGCTACTGCTATTTTTATAATTTAAATTTATATACCGTCATTTATCCAAGGATCACAAGATGGTTTACAGTATACTATAATATGTTTTTATATATATCTGCATACCGCTGTGTCATAAAAAAGACAGCAGAGTGGCTTACACCGATGAACGCAAAACCATAAAATAAAAACAGTTGACATTTTGAAAAACAAATATCAGTTACTGATTGTGCATTATTAATTGTCCACATGGGCCAATTATATATATAAAATTTCCATGCCATTTAAAATATCACTTAAGCGGTTTACAAAAACTGAAGGAGCAACGGACAACTTAAACCAAATATCACAACAATGCACAGTCACCCATAAAAACGTTACATGGATGCAAAGCTTCCTATAGATATCCATTCATTTTCCTTTTGACGCATCCCGTCTCCCTCCAGCCCCCTCTATCTATTATATATCTATGGACTTCTGCAGAGAGCGCAGAGCTGCACTAACAGCAGCCGCCGCAGCAGCCGCGAGCCCTACCCAGCATGCACCGGGGGCCCCTTAAGAGGCTCTGCCATTGGCCGGCCGGTCTCCGCCCACCCCGCGCGGACTACATTTCCCAGCATGCCGAGCGGGCGAAGCGGCGGCGCAAGGCACCCGCGGGCGCGCTGGGAAATGTAGTCCCGGCTTCGTGAGGGAGCTCTGGCTGGTCTGAGGAGGCGAGGCCATGGCGGCCCCCGGCGCGGCCCTGGAGCCCCGAGGAGCTCCGCGGAGACGCCCTGCCCAAGAAGGAGATCGTCCGCTTCCTGCAGGAGCAGGCGGCGCACAAGGTGGGAGCCCGCTCGGCCTCCCTTCACACGGTCGCGGGGAGACGCGTGTCGGGCGGAGGGGCCGCCGCAGCCTCTCTCTCTCTCTGGACTAGGGCGGGAGGCACGCGAGGAGCGGGCGGGGCCGCCTCCTGCCCGACACGCGTGCGGGGAGAACGTCTGAACGCGCGGGTCTCGCCAGCGCCTCCATGTCGCGCGGCATCCGCGCCCCGCTTCTCCACGGAGCTGAATCGCAAGGGTGGACGGGGACCCCCGAAGGTCATCCAGCCCAACCCCCTGCAGGGGAGCCTGCCCGCCCCCTTGGCCAGCCCCGCCCCTGCCTCCCACCGCCCAATGGCTCTTGCTCATTGTGGGGCACTCAAATAATTTGTATTAATTTTCCATTTAAACATAGATATTCGCATCATTATTATGATCCACTTTACTTCCTTGGCTCCTCAGAGCCTGTCGCCTTCCTTCCCTCCCGCCTCCTGGCTTTCAAAGCTCACCTTTCTAGCACAGCATTGGATATATTTTCCAGTTCTAATGTAACTCATGACTAAATACCTCAAAATTTAAATAAATATAGAAAGGTAAAAAAATTCTCATTACAAGTCTTCAGGTAACCCTACTAGCGTTGTTAATTGATCTTTCAATTCAATTCCAATTCAGTTATCTTTCAAATATTGTATGAATTTACTCCAGTCTTTTTGGAATGCTTGATCATGCTGGTTTCAGATTTTTCCCGTCAGTCCAGCATTTTCACCTGCCCCTCTTCTTTCGTCTTTGTGCGGCATTCAAAGCTCCCCTCCTTTTCTAATTGTAAAATAAAGATCACCCCCCCAAAAAAGAAACGAAGGGACCAAGTCCCCTGTCCCCTTTGCAGGCAGAAGGCCTGAGGCGGCTGGGAAGGTTCCTGCCCAAAACCCTTGCGGGCTGTTGCTGCTGCCGGTCAGAGTAGACAACAATGGGTCTGACTCTGGGCAAAGCAGCTTCCTTATGTTCATGGATCTGCGCTGGCAAATGGAGTCGCCTTTGCTTTCATCTGTAAGCCACCTTGAGTCGCCGGCAGGGGGAAAGGCAGGGCGTCAATAAATGTCGAAGGAGAAGCAACTCTGGGGTTTCGTTTGATTGCAGGGCCTTGTTTTGTACCTAGAAGCTTGCAAGAAACACTCTTGAGCCAAAGCAGCCTCCGGTTGAGGACTGTGACTGAGGTTTCCCTTGCAGGGGATCCCTCTGGGTTGGGAGTTGGGTGACAGCTGCGGATTCCTGCAGCTGGGTGGGGAGGGGTTTCACAAAGGCAGCACTGACTCTTTCCTTTTTTATTATTATAATTATTATTAATTTTCCATTTAATAACATATATTCACATCATTATTATCCACTGTGGCTCTTTAGAGCCTGTCGACTTCCCTCCCTCCTGCCTCATGGCTTTCTTTATTAACCTCCATATTATAGCATTTTGTACATTTTCCAATTATAATCGCCACACATTGCAAAATATCTCAAAATTTATATAAATAGAAAATTTCGCATTACAAGTCTTTCAGACAACCCTACTAGTGTTGTTAATTGCTTACAATACAGGTGGATGCTCGGGTTGTGAATGTTGATCTGTGCGGGATGCAGTTTCGCAACCTTGCATGGCTGCGGCCACACACGGGTTGCGATTCTGCCGGCATGTGCAAAGCCGCGATTTAGCGCTTCTACACGATGCGGCAACCACCGAAACCCGGAAGGTAACCCGTTCCGGTTACTTCGGGGTTTCGGGCAGTCCAACAACCCGAAAAAGGACAACAACCTGACAGCAAGCGTATAACCCAAGGATATGACTTGATTATTAAATAGCATACAAAATTTACTCCAGTCCATTGGAATAACTTGATCACGTTAGTTTCAGATTTCCCCCGTCAGCTTCGCCGTTCTGCAAAGTCCATCATTTCATCTGCCACGCTTCTTTCCTGTCCTTTTTGTTCCCATTTTTTGGCTAAGAATTCTTGACGCTGTTGTTGCATACCATGAAACAGCACCAGTATACTAAAATGGGAAGATACAGAGAAGATTAGCATGTCCCCCAGTACTGACTCTCTGTCCCTGTGCCGACCACTGGGTTGTGTTCAGGGTTTATAGTCTCCCCCAGTCGCGTGGCCACAAGGTTATTACCTGTGAATGCCACACGTGGAGATTTTCTGAGCTTGGTTGGAAGAAGAGGCGTCAGTTGATTTCATTCATTGGATGTGGTCTGGTTCAAGCAGAGTATTCCACTCCGTAAAATGCACTTCCCATAATCCCAGTTGCATGGCAAGAGAGTGACATGACTCCTTTCTTTCCCGGTATTGAACTAACGCTCTTGGTTTTGCTTTTAGTTCCTGTCAGAGCACAAACTACTAGGACAGATTAAAAATGTGGCCAAGACGGCCAGTAAGGAGCAGCTGATCACGGCATATAACGAGCTCTTTGAAACCAAGGTAGGTACCCTGCCTTGTCTGAGCAGATCTTATTACTAGAATCTTTGTGACTAAGGTTCAAACTAATCAAATTTATTACCTGTCCTTCACTAGCTGGTCCCAGGGCAGCTTACAACAATTAACAAAATCAAAATTAAGAAACAGTTGCCTTGGGGACAGAACAAATGCTTTGCTTTTCTCCTGCATCTTGCAGGGCTAGGAGAGACCTCTGCCTTCAGTCCTGGAGAACTGCTGCCATTCAGAGTGGGCGGCATGAGGCTTGATCCCACCTAAGATGTTCATATATTATTGAAATGCTCTGTGTGTCAACTTGTTTTTTAACTGAAATGTAAGAGGTTTAACATCAGCTGGGGGAAGGTATAAATGGGCTCCCGATATTACACAAGCGCTATTTAAAATAAGCTATGACACAAACCCATTTTCAGTAGCCATTGATAGTGGTGGGGAGAGGGAGATAATAAGTCCTTTGCCATACAAGCTCCTACCTAAGTTCTCTAAAAACCTGGTAATTATTTGGTGTGGATCAATATAGTTAACCAAATGAGTATGAAGGCCCAGTATAGGTGGAGCTCTCCAGGAAGCTCAGAAGAAGAAGAAGAAGAAGAGTTTGGATTTGATATCCCGCCTTTCACTCCCTTTTAAGGAGTCTCAAAGCGGCTCACATTCTCCTTTCCCTTCCTCCCCCACAACAAACACTCTGTGAGGTGAGTGGGGCTGAGAGACTTCAGAGAAGTGTGACTGGCCCAAGGTCACCCAGCAGCTGCAGGTGGAGGAGCGGGGAAGCGAACCCGGTTCCCCAGATTACGAGACTACTGCTCTTAACCACTACACCACACTGGCTCTCAGCCATCAGTGTTTCCGTGCTCATTTGTGCAGTCTGCTTGTTGGCTTGGTAGTCAGTGTTGTAGGGTCTCTGGTTTGTGGCATTTTCCATAAGTCTTTTCCCTGTAAGTTAAAGCTCACTGTGGCCTGTGTGACTCGGCTTCCTTCCTTTATAAGGTATACGAAATGATATGGATTGCATTTCCTTTACAAGGAGTATGTAAGAAGAATCTGCTGGATCAGGCCAATGGCATCCTGACCCAGCATCATGTTCTCACAGTGGCCAACCAGATGCCTCTGGGACAGGAATCTCTTCACCGATGTAACACATTTTCTTTCTAGAGATTTAAGGGTACTGAGAGTCCAGAGCATGTAGCAGAGCAAGTGAAAAATGTCAAGATTGATGAGGAGAAGCCCAAGGAGACGAAGCCTGAGGAAGCTGTGGATGAGGTAGGTGAGGAGAACAATCAGGTATGATTTGCAGACTCTGGCTGGTGGGAAGAGGCAACCCTTGCAGGAATGTAAGGGAGCAGGCAAAATGGGCAGGGGGGGTGCACCTCTTCTGGACACAGAAGAGCCGCTTCAGAATTTCAGGATCTTCCTCACCAAGAAAATGCAGTGCTGTAATCGTGAGAACTGCTCTCCATAAAGTGCAGCTGTGTGCCTAGAAGTTGCAGTTCACACCCTCACGAAGGGTTTGAATATCTGGATTGGAACCAGCTGTCGGTTCCATTTGCAATTTCCTCCAGGGAACTCTCTTCCCTTGGAGATTTATCAGATCTGTCGCAGCATTTTCTGGACAGGCGACCTTAAATCAGGCAGACTTCAGCACATATTCTAAGAGCTCAGAATTTAAGATCCTCCCTGAACATATCCACAGAGTCTTAAGTGATTTACTTCGTAGTCTGACGCACATCCTCACAGAAATAAGTCCCATTGTATTTCTTGGGCTTACTCCCAAGGAACTGTGTATAGTAAGTATTGCAGCCTTCACCCTGTTGTCCAGCGTAGGTCATGCTGCACATCATTTTGTGATCTCATCTACTAGCTGTGTGGAGCATTGTGTTCAGTCATATTGAAGCTTTAATGTTAAATAGCAGAGCTAATGGTTGGCTGTCTTTCCTTTCTGCCCTCTGAAGCCATTTCTTCATTGTCTTTTGTGCAATGCTTTGGTCAACTTCTGTACCTTTTGGAACAGTGAGAGCGGGAGCCTGACCCTTGTTTCTTCCCTCTTCCCATTTCAGGGCCCCCCAAAATATACAAAGTCTGTACTGAAGAAGGGGGATAAAATCAACTTTCCCAAAAAGGGTGATGTCGTTCACTGTTGGTATACAGGGAAGCTGCAAGATGGAACCATCTTCGATAGTAATATTCAGACAAGTAAGTGTTGAGAAAAGGTGGCATTTCTCTTCTTCACAGAGATGGGGAAGCTGTGGGCTTTAAAGACCAGAGTAGCTGTGACTGAAGGCACAGCTTCATTTTCTCTCATTTATACCCCACCTGTCTTCTGCCATGGAACCCAAGGCAGCTTCTACTTGTGGTTCCCAGTCACTCACTAGACCCAGATCTGCCTAGCTTTAGCCAGGTGGTGGCCTTGTGCATCTCCTGGGAACACGATGCAGCAGATGTGTTGCCTGTGAAGTGAACGGGTCTTGCACAAGGCCACACCTCTGCTTCTGGGCTGCAGTTTGCATTTTGTTCTTCCCGTCTGGGGATTCCAGTTTGCACTCCCCATAGATTCTCGAGGGCATGGTCTGTTTAGCACTGGGGAATCAAACTTTTGCATTCTGACAAATGGGTTGGATCGGAATGGACTTGAGTCTCTGAATGAAAAAGAGATTTCTGTGATTTCTTCCTACTCCTGCACCCCCAATCTACAGCCCACATGCTGTCACGTTCCATGTGCTTCTAGAGGGTCCCTGACTTTCAGCATCAGCTCTCCCAGGAGCTGCAGTGGAGAGAAGGAAGCAGAGTCCCATTCCATGAGCAGCGTTCCACTTACAGTATTGTAGCCGATGTGATGTATTCAGTGTGTCTGGGTTGACACATGTACGTGTTTGGATGCTGCCGGGAGTCAGGGGCAATTGGCAGGCCCCCAGCTGGCTGCAACCACCATCCGGCAGCCGGACGATCACCGGTCTCCATTGGAACAGCATCAATCAGCGACGCAGAGCCTCAAATACGTTTAGAGACCCGTGCATGCTCTATCAGCAGAGTGAATAAATCTTTGCAGCAGAAGAGGCAGACAGAGACATGTGTAAGCAGTATTTACAGGCATTTTATTCAGCATAGTTCAGGAACAAAGGAAAACATGTCTGCTTCCCTTCGTCTCCAGCAAAACAGCGAAAAGCAAAAGCAATATATAAACGGAAGTTCCCAGCAGACTGTGCTGGAAGTAAACAGGCATGTGACACACAACAGTAATGCCTGACCCTTTTAAGGTGGAACAGAACTATATCCCAACGGTACGTACACATATGTACACCCCCACACCCACCACTCATGGGCACAGTCAGAACTTCTTCCTGAAGTCCTGGAGAACTGCTGCTGCCTCTCACTTTAGAAGACAATTCAGACCTAGATGGTCCAGTGGTCCGACTCTGTATAAGGCAGGAGTTTCTTGTGGTCCCCTGTTGCCACCTCTGCATGTCTGCTTGGCCTCTGGCCTAGAAGTGTACTGTACCCAAAGACCTGGGTGTTTGGGCAGATCAGGGGTGCCCTCTTGCCCTCAGGATTGTGGATGCCTGCCGCCTCAACGTGGATTTGTGATGTCGCACACCCAATGTCTGCGGCTCCTCTTCCTCCTCCTCGCCACAGCGAGTGAGGCAACCTTTTCCATGTCTGAGTCCCCCACTCCCTGCCCTGAAAAGGGTGCCTCGCTAGCTGGCTGCGGAGGGCAGAGCTGGACTGCTTCTCTCTCAGAGGTAGTGTTGGCTTTTCTCAATGACTTTGTGGGTGCCCCGCCCCCACAGTTGTATTATTGTGGGTGCCCAAGCACCCACGGCCCCCTGGAGTTGGCTCCTATGGTGCGGATGTCTCTTTCTCAAGCACAATTTAGGGGTTCTTTGTTCAGTGCAAAATGCCCTGAAATATAGTAGACGGAAGCTGTTTCACATGTCGCTTGCCTTCCAGTGCATCTTGCGCCAGAGATGACCCTCGTGAGGTTTCACCACCAGGCTTCCAAAGGAGAGGGGGATGGAAATCGCAGTGTTTCTCAGTCTTCCACGCTCCTTTTATACACTAAATATTTAGCAAACTGGGCTTTGACTGAGAAACCCCTTTCTTGACAGAGTGGTGGGAGTTTTGTAGCCATTAAGCAACTATCAAAACAGCTCCACTCCTTGGTTGGAATGGCTGCCTGCTTGTGACCAGGCTAGTCTTGCCCCCTAGTTACCTAGTGAATTTGCGTGACCTGGAATGTGGGTGACTCCTCGGGAATCCTTTCCCAAAGCAGTGCCCTCCAGATGTTTTGGACTCCCAAAACATCACTCTTGCTCAGTGGGAACACCTTTTGGTATTATTGTTGCATGTTTATAATATTTGTTTTGTATCTAAGTTGCCTTGAGACCTTTGGGCAGAAGGCAAACTTTCTCATCGCCCTTGACCACCAGCGATACTTTCCGGGTGGGGAGTTGTAGTCCAGAACATCTGGAGCGCACCAAGTGGGGGGAGGCTGGTGTAGAGCGAGAAGCCAACTGGGAGAGGGATAAGAGCTCCAGAATGTTGGTGTCGTTTCAGGTTCAAAGAAAAAGAAAGCTGCAAAACCACTGAGCTTCAAAGTCGGCGTTGGGAAAGTGATACGAGGCGTGAGTGTGCTGGCGGAAGGGTGGGTGGGGGCAGCTAGGATGTCTTTGGGCCTCCCACCTCCTGTGCCCATCCGTCAGGGAGGAGCTCCTGTTGCCAGGCAGCTGCCAGGCTATTTGCTTGAATCCTCCCAGAAGAGAAGCTGGTGCATGTTGTCTGTCAGCCTTCCTCCACAGCACATCTGACAAAATTCATTTTCCTTTCCCGTGCTCAGTGGTCTTTGCATCAGAGCCCATTGAAACAGCTTATGCTGCCCACCAAGATGGAGGGAGGAGGTGGGGGTGTTAAATGTTTTACCTGAGTGCAGGTTAGGATGATTGGCATTAAGATACCGAAGTGTATATGCCGTTTTAAGGATTGCCAGGATTTATTTATTTCACTATTTGGCTGTTTCTATGTGTCCTTTGTTACCTGTCCGCACTCCCTGGGCTACTTGTCGTCACATCTCACAAGTGCAGTGGCCAACAAGTTGTGGCTTGCCTTACTAGCGAGACCTGCAACTTGTGATGTCCCTGACCTCTCCCTTCCCTGACTCCCGTGGCGTGTGCAGAGGGAGGGAGACGTGCCCTTGGGTGATCTTCTGCAGAAGGTGCAAACTTTTGCTACAGCCTCCTGAAAAGGTTCCAGGGAATAGAAAACTGATTCCTTTATCTAATAGGGAGGAGGAGAAATGGCTTCCGTCATATCAGTTGTGCTTTGGGCAGAATATAGAAGCAGTATTAATGAGCCCCTAAGGAAGAGAGAGGCAGAGAAAGGGGTTGTTTATTTCCTTCCAATTGGCATTTTGCAGGAGGCTTAAACAGTAGGGACAATGACAGTGGTGGCTTCTTCTGCAGAAACTTGTGGGATGGACATCACTTCTCCTTCGTATACAGCTGTGGTGCTTTGGTCTAAACCACAGAGCCTTGGGCTTGCCGACTGGAAGGTCGGCGGTTCGAATCCCCATGATGGAGTGAGCTCCCTTTGCTCTGTCCCTGCTCCTGCCAACCTAGCAGTTCGAAAGCACGCCAGCACAAGTAGATAAATAGGTCCTGCTTCGGCGGGAAGGTAAACGCCGTTTCCATGTGCTGTGGCACTCATCACGGTCCTCCGTGCGCCAGAAGCAGTTTAGTCTTGCTGACCACATGACCCGGAAAATTGTCTGTGCACAAACACTGGCTCCCTCGGCCTGAAAGCGAGATGAGCACCGCAACCCCATAGTTGCCTTTGACTGGACTTAACCATCCAGGGGTCCTTTACCTTTTTTTACATATCCTGCACCAGTATGTCTCTACCTTTCTGATAATCTTAAAAGCACTAGAATGCATTCATTAAACATGATTTTGCAGTAATTCATCTGAACCAGATTTTCAATAAGACAGACATCTTGTAAAACATTTAACCTAAAAAGGCTGGCTCTCTAGTCCTCCTCAAAACACAAAGGTCTTAGCCTGCTGAGTTCGTTAACTTACCCAGCAGAGGGAACTTGCTCCACTCACCCTTATTGTTTCAGCTTATCTTCTAATAGCCCAGGTCAAAAACATTCCTTCCAGCCTGTTTCTCAGGTAGATTTGTTTTGTTTTTTCCCAGTGGGACGAAGCTCTGCTGACCATGAGCAAAGGGGAGAAGGCTCACCTGGAAATCGAACCGGAATGGGCTTATGGGAAGAAAGGGCAGCCAGATGCCAAGTATCCTTGCAAAGTGTGCCGCTGAGCAGCCTACTAATCTGATGGAAAATGCGGGTGTGCAAAATTCTCTGGCTCAGAATGCCAGGTGCTGGTGAAGAATTCCCTAGGTCTAAGCATGGGGCAAGTGCAGGTAAGAACATCAGAGCCTGCTGGATCAGGCCATTGGCCCATCTAGTCCAGCAGCCTGTTACGATACGATATATCTTTATTGTCATTGTCCCATACAGAACAATGGAATTGAAAAAGCTACATAAGACATTCAAAAACCCCATAAAACTCTGAAACCCCATTTTAAAATACAATATACTCCTATAGAGATGCCCCAATGGGAAACCTGCAAGCGGGATTTGAGTACAAGAGGCTTCTCTCCTGATGTGGCCTCCAGCACTGCTGCTCCAACCGTGGAGAGAGAGCACAGCCATCATGACGAGTGGCCCCCCTCTTCCAAAATTTTGGGGAGCATGGGATGCAAACGGGCAGAAATGCCTGCAGCATAGCAGGCATCACCAGCACGCTTTCCACAAGGGCAAAGCACAGCTCTGACACTAAGTTGGTCAATTGAATCCCTATGTGCTGCCAAATAGAATGTGATCCCTAAAATTGGGCATGACGGCAGTGCCAAAATGTGTGAAGACGAGGCAAGAGGATCTGGAAATAAGGAACTGAAGCGGCAGGCTAGAGCACTGCACTTCCCCTTTCATGTGACAATGCTTGCTGCAGCCCAGTCCATGTGGCGTGTCCCGTGGCTGGGAATTGTAACCAAAGTTGTTCTGGAACAGAGTCAAACTCGATCTAGTTTTAAGTACTTATGTGTTCTCCATTGACTGAATATTTAAAGGGATGGTGATGCCAACTCTGTATCAGACAGATCATGTACTTGAGGAACTTTGGGGAGGGGGGAATGTTATATAGCAGGTCTTCATCAGCTAATTATAGGATATGTAACAACAAAAAACAATTGGCAAATGCTTACTACATTTTGCTCCTCACTCCCCTATTTCTATGAACTTTGCGTTCCAACTCTCTTCAGAACTGCCACTCTGCAAGTGTAACTTCTACCGTAGAACGAATTCCTTAACTTGCATACTTTAGAATTCCACCAAATGCAAAACTTTTCTTTGAAGTGGAACTGGTGGATATTGAATGATGGGTTGCTCCTCCTGGCCCCCCATCTTTGAAAACTGTGAAGATGCTCTCGGAAGTCCAGGAAATGTGTTTGTGGCCTTGTTTCTCACACAGCAAGGGTGGGGGTGAAAAAGCTTTTATTCCAGTTGCTGTGTACAGCATCACTTTAACTAAAGACTGGTTTATATACATGGCTCTTGACTGTCATTGGCAATCTGTGGCTGTCATATTTTTTTTACTTTGGCACACCTATGAAAGGTAGTGCACATTCAAATGGTGCAGTTGTCATAACATTTGAAGAGGTCCTCCTTTCACATGTTTTGAGGCGGCCCCTACAGTTAGAGGCTATTCAAGGCAGCCACTTTTCCTGCTATGGGGCAGGAAAAACTTCTGAAAATCAGGTTGACGGAGGGGACAAGAGCCTAATTAGCACTGGCTGCTGATCTCCAGCTATTACTAGTGTAGACTGTAGCTTTCTCATGAGAAAAACATATTCTTGCACTCTAGAAGCTTTCGAGCCTCTGGAGTGTTACTAGGTAGCGTATTTGACAACTGCGATACTGTTCAGGACCAAAAGAGAAACGAGAAGTAGCTCAATTTGCACAATTTTATTAAAAAAAGGACATTTTAAACAAACCTTTCTAAACTTATACATGAAAATTCAATACAAAACCCACCCCAAACACAGCATGGTTCTAGCAACACACTTCATTTGTCACTTCTTTAAATCCAAAAGATGCCCTTCCACATTATGTATTCCCACCCATATATATATATATATATATATATATTTTAAAAATCTCTCTTTTTTTGGATGCTGCAACTGTAAACTCAAAGCCAAAACAGACCTGGATGAGGGTGTAGATTTGAAACTTATTCAGGGGACAGGAAACTCACATAGAGCACCATTTCCCGGAGTGGCGCGAACCTGTTCTAGCCGCCTTCAGATCATTGCAGAGAGCCGACTTTCGCCAGCATTCAACAGATGTTATTGGAATTTCTTGGATTTTTTTGTAACAGGAAAGCCGAAATCCTGATAAACTATGTATACAGCAAGATACCAATTAATACAAGAATTTTGTCACAAGAACCCTGTGGACATCAGTTCACCGCACATGCAGAAAACACAAAAGGATTGTGTGGCTGTCTGTTCACATCCCCATTTATATATATATATATATATAAAACCAAAAACACTTTCACACCCCGTTTCTGCTCAAATTGTTCTTCTGCTCAGGTGGAAGAGGTCTGATAGTATTGTCCGTAATTCCATGCATTTGGGTAGTTGTACTAGAGGAGGAAGCAAAAGGGGGAGGTGGGTTAGCAAACTTTTTGCGCCTTCCACACTTGCGCAAAACTCTGCCAAGGGCCAAGAGCTAAACGGCTCCACCGCTGCAATATTGCAGGTGCAGAGGCCCTTGGCATTTTCAAAGCCTGAAACCCTGTCATGGCAGAGTTTGGCAGGGGTTGCGTGGCAAAGGGGAGCCCGAAAACTTCCCCCGTATCTGCTGCTCACCTGGTACCAAGCGTTGTAGTTGTAGGCAGCCTGGTTGGCTTGCATGTCTCCGTCCGCCATCTGCCCAGATGCCAGAGCTGCCTCGTCACCCTGCGCTCGCTTCTCGTCTGGCTCTTCGCAGCTGCAAGAAATGTGCTGTTATTCGACAGAGCAGAGGGCCCAGAGATGGAGAAGTCACCAGCTAGCTAGCAAGTCCTTGACTCGCTGGGTATGCTCTGCCTTGAATCTTAACACCACTGTCTGATATCCCAGCATGGTAAGGAGCTGGAGGAGAAGGGGGCTTCTGGCACCCCCAAGTCCCTTTCTGTCACCTCCCCACCCTCTGGGGAATGACAAACGGTGGCCCACTTTGTAAGGGCAGGACAACTCAGCTGTCTTGGGGGGGGGAGGAGAACAAAACATCTCTGTTCCCCTGACCCCCACTTCAGGAAGGGATCCAGGCCCCTTCCCTTTGAGATACTGCACTTGCCTCTCTGCTCTGAAATATTTCCTTTATTTAACATAATTTATATAGCACTCGACTGTAAGTAAACCTCTAAGCTGTTTACAAAAGCATTATATCTTATTCCTCAGTTCTAAAAGGACTGCCTTTTCCAAAATAATAATAATAATAATAGCAGCAATAATTTATTATTTATACCCTCCCCACCTGGCTGGGTCTCCACCCCAAACCTTTTGAAATTAGGCAGGAGGTGATCAGTGAGGGGGACTTTCTGGCTGCAACACCCAACATGTGGAATACCCTCAACCCCAGCAAGGCTCACCTGGCACCAAATCTGGTGTCTTTCCAATGCCAGGCAAATACAGTGGTGCCTCGCAAGACGAAATTAATCCGTTCCACAAGTCTCTTCGTCTTGCGGTTTTTTCGTCTTGCGAAGCACGGCTATTAGCGGATTAGCGGCTATTAACGGCTTAGCAGCTATTAACGGCTTTAAGAAAAAGGAAACAAACTCGCAAGAACTCGCAAGACGTTTTGTCTTGCGAAGCAAGCCCATAGAGAAATTCGTCTTGCGGAACGACTCAAAAAACGGAAAACCCTTTCGTCCAGCAAGTTTGTCGTCTTGCGAGGCACCACTGTACCTTTTTATTTGCTCAGGCCTTCAAGCTATTGATTATCTCCTTTTATTGTTTATTGTTCGGAGTTTTTTTCTGATTCTGATCAGCTAATTATATTAATTTATGTGGGGGTTTTTTTTGGGGGGGGGGAGATGTCTTTCTACTGTCGTGTGCTACCTTGCGAGTTTTTTGAACAAAGACTTGACATCCCAATAACTAAATGTCATTTGCCAGAAGCATAGAAACCCTGCTACACATTTGACAAGGCATTCAAGCCTTGGGCGCTATTCAATCCCATCAACCCGGGGAGGGGGGCCGTTAAACTTAAAGCCACCTGCTCCTCATCCATCTTCAGCACAAGAAGCAGCCAGTCGCCTGGCCACCCCTTAATATGAAGAACAGCCTTGGAAGTTTCCTAAGTTTGAAGAACCTGAGCTGCTGCTTGAATGCTGCCTCCTTTGCTTCTAATGCTTCATGGGAAAAGGTTAAAAAGCTCTCAAGTGCTTGCATTTAAACATGAGGGGGCACTGTTATACAGTGGTTCCACTCCTTCCTCCTGGGCCGTGTCCAGAAAGTGGTGGTGGGGGATGAGTGTTCAGACCCCTGGGCTCTCACTTGTGGGGTGCCTCAGGGTTCTGTCCTCTCCCCCATGCTTTTCAACATTTACATGCAGCCACTGGGAGAGATCATCAGGGGATTTGGGCTGGGTGTTCGTCAGTATGCGGATGATACCCAGCTCTACCTCTCTTTCACATCAGAACCAGTGAAGGCGGTGAAGGCCCTGTGTGAGTGTCTGGAGGTGGTTGGAGGATGGATGGCGGCCTACAGATTGAGGTTGAATCCTGACAAGACAGAAGTACTGTTTTCAGGGGACAGGGGGCGGGCAGGTGTGGAGGACTCCCTGGTCCTGAATGGGGTCACTGTGCCCCTGAAGGACCAGGTGCGCAGCCTGGGAGTCATTTTGGACTCACAGCTGTCCATGGAGGCGCAGGTCAATTCTGTGTCCAGGGCGGCTGTCTACCAGCTCCATCTGATACGCAGGCTGAGACCCTATCTGCCTGCAGACTCTCTCGCCAGAGTGGTGCATGCTCTGGTTATCTCCCGCTTGGACTACTGCAATGCGCTCTATGTGGGGCTACCTTTGAAGGTGACTTAGAAACTACAACTAATAACAGAATGCGGCAACTAGACTGGTGACTGGGAGCGGCCGTCTTGAAAGACCTACATTGGCTCCCAGTACGTTTCTGAGCACAATTCAAAGTGTTGGTGCTGACCTTTGAAGCCCTAAACGGCCTCAGTTCAGTATACCTGAAGCAGCATCTCCACCTCCATTGTTCAACCCAGACACTGAGGTCCAGCTCCGAGGGCCTTCTGGTGGTTCCCTCATTGCGAGAAGCAAAGCTACAGGGAACCAGGCAGAGGGCCTTCTCGGTAGTGGCACCCGCCCTGTGGAACGCCCTCCCATCAGATGTCAAAGCGATAAACAACTACCTGACATTCAGAAAACATCTTAAGGCAGCCCTGTTTAGGGAAGTTTTTAATGTGTGACATTTTAGTGTATTTTTGGTCTCTGTGGAAGCTACCTAGAGTGGCTGGGGAAACCCAGCCAGATGGGCGGGGTACAAATAATAATAATAATAAGGCACATTTTCATAAGTGGCGCATCAGATCATTCTCGACTGCCCACCTCCATGCAGAGGCAGTTTTTTCAGAAAAACTCTTTAGCACATCTGGGAATAGAGCTTCCACTCTGGCCTGCCTGCCTGTCTGTCTGTGTCTCTCCCCCCACCCCAAGGAAGCATGGTCATATTGGGTGAACCAAAATGCATAGTTTGGAGTAGGGCAGCCCAGACAGACTTTTGCAGCTAAGCCTTAACACCCTCACTGCTCTCTGCTAAACAAGACAGTTCATACCCATTTTCTGCTTTCCTTTTCAAAGACTCTTGCTCCTTCAGAAGGGATTGGTGCTCTTCATAGGCATCCATAAGCCTGCAAGCAAGGAGAGCGAAAAAGAGGCTGCAGGTTAGGCCTTTCTGCTCGTCAGTGCAGGATGCACAAACATTTCCATTTTGAAAGCTGCTTTTGCTCCCACATTCAGCACCACCCAATCTCTCAGCGTGGAGCTGGGAGCCGCTGCACAGCAGGCACCTTCCAAACACAGCTGTGATCCAACCCCAACTGTAAAGGAAAATTAAGCTCCCTTCAAGTTTGTGAACTGGATCACAGTAGTTTAAATCCTCTACTGAAGTTGGCATCAGTGAAGAGAACCCCACATACTCCCAGGGCCAGAATTTCTGCAACCTTTAGCAGGAAGAACAGTTTTCTACAAGGAATGGCCTCTCATCAACCCTCCTGAACTTTGTCTGCAGCATACATGCCATTAATAGGCATTAAAATGGGCTCAGATGCTGTCCAGTTCCCCTAAGGCTGGGTTAAGCACATGTAAAACCTCACTTGTTCACATCCAGACCAAAATCTTCAAGGAATTCCACCTTTCGCTGAGAAAATATAATCCTCATTTTTATAGCCAACGTGCCACTGATTGCTTTGTCAAAACACGCAATGATGTTCTCTTCATTTTGTTTTAGGTCTCCATTGTACTCTATTTCCAGCAAGTTGAGATACAGTTTGGGGTTATCCTAGGCAAAATAAATTAAACACAGAAACATTCAGATGGCAATATTCAAGAGTAGTACACAAATTATTACAACCGCAATGACGAGGTAGTTAAAATATATTGAAATTACAGGAGAGAATGTCTGAATGGTATGTCAGTGGTGGAGCCTCTGCTTGGGTGCAGGGGGAGCAAGCTGCGCATGCAAGACCTCTTCCTCTCAGAACTACCTCTTTCAGAAATGTTTTCATGCCGGGACTAATTTGCAACTACACTTCCAAAAATTAGACAGCTCAATTTAGCCATGCACAAGATCCTCTAAGTAGGCAGATGCACAGCAAACCAAGAATCCCATGAGCACCAGTCGTCTCTGCATTCTCCTCAGGGATTCACGGTATCATCAAGGTGCATCTTAGACCACCAGAATTATCCCTCCACCTCCTGGCCCAATCAAGGCACAAAAGTCTTGCAGGAGGTTAGGGAGGGGCTGGCACCTTCCTGAGGAGGAAAAACTTTTGCTTGCCTAGAGACATGCACCGGATCTCAATGCCTTGAAAAAATGAATTTTAGTGAGTGCACCTCTATGTGTTTATTATGGAATCTAACATAAATATGCATATTTGTAATGCACAGAACTTTGGAGTGCACCCTGCTGCCGCCGCCTTAAGCCAGTACTGAGAAGGGTCTTCTGCCGTGAGGTATGGGGCTCCTTTCCCATTTTAATGTCTCTATTGATTCTTCTGGAAATGCATCTACATCTATGGCCCAGGAACTGGGGAAAGGGAGAGCGCCTGCACCCCTGGCCACATTACAGCCCCAGGATCTGGCACCCCAGACACTGCCATGCCAAGCTAGCTCATCTCTGGTGTGAAACCTGGAGTTTGGGGTGGGGTGTGTAGGGAAGGGAGCCTGGCAACATCAGTTTAGAGGGACTGGTGTCTCCAAGTTGCATTGCAGAGTCAAGAGTCGTCATCACTGTTGCCAGGCACGGGAGCCCCTTGGCAGAGGTGGCAAGGAAGGGGTCCAGTTGACCCTCCTCCAAGAGCTGCCTACCCTGTCTCTGTCGATGGCGTCCAGAATCACTTTCCTGGCTTTGGGGAGGTTCTTCTGGATTTTGAAAAGGTGCCGAGCGAGCTTGACCGCGAAGAAGGAGGCTTCGTAGCTGGACTTGGCGTTCTTCACAGCTTCCTGGAGCAGGTGCTCAGCCTCCTCCATGTTCCCATGCCTCCGCTCCAAGCTCACTCTCCGCAGGCGGATCATGGCCAGGCCTGAAACGTTCTCCTCAAAGGTCTTCAGAATTCTTCGGGCTTCATTGATGTTCCCTAAAAGCAAGGGGAAAGGTGTGGGTGTGGAATGGCACCTAGCCAACAGCCCCTTGGGGTCCTCCTGCACAACTCCCTCTCAGGTACCCAAAGATCAGTTTTGGCTTTACCCTCCCCACTTCACTCTAGCTGAGTTAAGTTTCAGATGGGCATGAAAGGGAGGTGGGGGCTTCAAGCACCAGACTTTGTTCAGGTCACTTGATTCCCGCCTTCCTGAGAAGTAGGAAGCAACAACCCACTACAGTGGTACCTCGGGTTAAGTACTTAATTCGTTCTGGAGGTCCGTTCTTAACCTGAAACTGTTCTTAACCTGAAGCACCACTTTAGCTAATGGGGCCTCCTGCTGCCGCCCTGCCGCCGGAGCACAATTTCTGTTCACATCCTGAAGCAAAGTTCTTAACCTGAAGCACTATTTCTGGGTTAGCAGAGTCTGTAACCTGAAGCATATGTAACCTGAAGCATATGTAACCCATATGTATGAATATCTCCTTCACACCAAACAGAGAAACTGGAACAAACTAAGAGAATCAATGCACAGGTGTTCATAAATCAGCCCTTAAGTTGTCCAGCAGCACACACAGCGCCCTCCTCAAGAGTCTCCTTTGTGGTGCAGTTTCAAGGCGGGAATAGTGGAAGTCGCTTCCAAGCAGCAGGAGACATTCCTCCGCCTCTTGCCAAGCCCTCTGGCACTCTCGTGGAGAGGAGCAGGGTGTGCTCTCATATGTGCGGAGGTTGAGAGTAGATAGATAAAAACAGGAGTCTCCCTGCAAGGAGGGCTGATTACAGTCGTCATGGGTGGCAAGTGTCTGTGTATGCACACACCCAGCAGATTCCATGCACAGATTCTGCAATGTCCTGGAAAAGATCCTCAACTTCAAATAGAAGATACAGACGCTTACATACACCCTGATCTACATTTTACTACCAGCTACCAGAGTCACAAACTTTGCTAAATTTTACCATCTGCATAATCTATTCTTCCAACCAGGCTCTGCAAGCAATTCAGAGAAGCAGCAACGTTAGCACAGACTGCAAAGTGAGGTTAGAGGAAAACGGCAAGTGTTCCTATTTTGCAGGCATCCCCATGGGGATACTGGAAAGAGACCCTAAAAAGTGCTGCTACTAGGAGAGGAGGAGTCAACAGTGTTACAGCAGGGATATGGCATTAAGCACCTCCTTGAATCCTCTGTACAGCACTGGTCTTTCAGTCAGGTCTGATCGCTGAGATGCCAATCACTGTCCTAAGCAGAAGACCTGAACCTTCAAGATGTGCTCTACTATCAATGTTTATAGGGCCTCATCCACTTCTCCAGAATTTGCAGTGGCTGTTTCATCCACGGATGAGCAACCTTCCCTGGGTTGCCAAATGATCAAAATACTGGGATATGGAGATGCGTATCTCCAGATGGTCTACGGCCATTTACATTTACTCTTTTCCTGTGGCAAGGATAAAAAGTGCATGTATCCTCATTTGCTTTTATTCTTGTTATGGAGTTGCTTCTTCATGGAGTGGCTTACAAGGCGGCATTTAAGTTTGTAGAGAAAATGACTGACTGAGCGGTGAGCCTCCAAGAGCCTGCCGTTCTGTTTGGCTGAAGGATGCTTCTGCTACCCATTCCTTCCTCTAGGAGACCCGGCTCCTCACTCACCTTGCTGTTCTTCAAAGGCTGCCCAGAGCAAGTGCACCATCGGCTTCTTTGAGAGGTGTATCGTGCAGGCCCGGCTGTAGACGTGCCTCACTCCTTCGATGCTGTGGTTCTCCATATACTTGGCATACTGCATTTGAAGACAGAGCAGAGACTGAACAATTCACAGCTTACTCTGGGCTGCTAAATACTTGAGAGAACTATAAAATTCTTGTGTTTAAACCCATTCAGCACCTTTATTGAACCATTAGACTAGTTTCTGTAAGGAGGGACGAAGAGAGGCAACGAAGTTGGCATATGCAGCTGTCAAATCTGGTTGCAAGCAGACCATCTCCTAATGCAACAGATATAGTTATACATGAACAACATTCAAACAAGAGTACAGAAGGTTAGTCACTGATCATCAATGTTTGCAAAGGCAGAGAGCTGTGCGTGGGAGACACGCCCCGTACCTTGATCCAAAACTCCTCATAGAGGGCACAGGAGATCACACAGCGCTCAAAGAGGACCACCACTCGCTCATGAGTCCCGTTCTCAATCTCAAAGTCCAAGTACTCCTTCCAGTTCTTCAGCTGAGTTTTCTCCAGAGGTTTAACGTGAAAATAAGGTCGTTTTATCTGCAATGGAGGAGAACCAAGGGAACGGAAAGTAAACCAGTTTTACAATGGCGACAAAACAACTTTCATCTGCCACTTAATCCCGCCAAGCACGTGAGAAACTGGAACCTGCTGCTATCTAAGCGAAGGCCTGCTCAGAATCAACACATCCATATACAAGTGAATGTGGAGGAGAGAGGTGGATCGCATTATTCCCCCTACATTTTTCCAAACCTGTGAACAAGGCCTCCATGCGCCCAGCTTGGAGACAATCACAAGTTTGAAGACCTTCCACAAGTCGTGGACAGACCTCCGGAATAATACTGTTGCTCCTTCCACACATTAATTTATACATGGATTAATGTGTGATCAGCCCTATACCCCCTGAAATGTAGTTTCAAGAACAGCTGACCAAGCTAGCAAGTTCCCTATACAGAAAGACCTAACAAAGCTCAGGCACAGAACTCTTGGGTCCAATAAGAATGCACAGCTCTCAGCCTTGCTCTGTTTCAATTCAATAAGTGGCTGCATTCCTTAAGAACACAGAAGAGTCATCATGTATCAAAGGTGGCCAAACAGATGTCTTCATTCCAAGTAGGATGCAATGGCAAGATCCCTCTTTCCATTCCTGCTTGTTGCCAAACCTGGGCCTCCTCTACGGTTCTCTTAGAGAGTATAATCTGCTCATTGTGCCTCATGTGCATCCTTTACACTTCGGCTGATTCTCATTTGCCATTTCATTGCTCATTCACTGACTTGGGAGAAATCTTTCTGGCACTCTTTGCAATCCACTTTGGTTTTCAGCCTTAACTCCCAACCCTGCACACCCTCAAGCCATTAAGGAACCCAACTTCTTACCTCCCTGCACTGTAAGAATTGCCCACTGATTGGTACCCTTTTGCCTCCTACTCTTGAATCATCACCAATCCAAAAGGGCCTGTCTTCTTATCTCATGGCCACCAGGAGGGGGGCTTTGCCCAAAAGTCCTCCCCAATTACCAAAATACAACCTTTGCTCAGATTTGGGCCAAAGCATTCTTCTTTTCTAAGCACCCTCTGTGTTCTAAAGGAGAACTCCTAAACCACTCCAACTTGTAAATGTTCTGTACTGCTAGGAAGTTGCTCCCTTCAAGCTGCTAGGTGAGACGACGGAAACAGGATCATGGGACTTTAAAAAAATCAACCGCTCAGACACTAAGTTAGAAGGGTAAAGCAAGCAGAACATGGGTATCTAGTGATCTATCCCACTTTATAATTTTTTGCTTCTTTAATGGCCACACCTAAAAAACCACTTGACTCTGAAATCTTGAGACGCTATTAAGCCAATTAAGAGTATCCAACAGAGATCGGATCTCATCTCTCCTACACCCCACGTTCTTTGGAGCCTATGGACAAGCAAACACCCTGAACAGAAGCAGCATCAAAGGAGACAACAGAAGCAGCTGTGTTGGTAAGAAGTCCCAAACGTCTCATTACATTTATAAGAATGCTGCAATTTCATTAAAAATATAAGTATCAGAGCATTACAAAGCTACAAAAATCACAGATCACTGGCTAACTAGCAGAAATTATTTTTTTCTTTAACTATCCACATTAGGTGGGGGCATAGGAAAGTTTTCAATGAACATTTCAGAATTAATACAAAAACCACTGGCTGAATCTCTGCTGGAAGAGCATTCCTCAAGACTGGGCCAATAACACTGGAGCCTGCTCCAACTTGGGGGATAATCAGCAGCGCCACTAAATATCATCCTGGTGACTGAGATGAGATATAAGGATTCAGGCAACCCCTCAGGTGCCCTGGACCCAAGTTGTTCAAGGCTTTGTAAATTAATACAAGGGCCCTGAACACGGCTTGGCAGCAGATGGGCAGCCAGTGCAGATCTTTTCACAACAGTGCCACATGTTGCCGGCTATCTGCCCTCATTAGCCCAGCAAAGCCTGGCTTAAGCATGCCTGCCTAACAATGGACTGAACTCTGGCCACTTTGAGCTGCTTGCAAGGGGAACGCAATAGGAAAACTGCCTATTCTTCATATATGGTCACAACTGTTAATTTGTATTTTGTGGCAAATTTTTACATTTGAAGCAACAGCACAGCCTGTAAAGGAATTTGCTATTGGTGTTACGGCTTCAAAGAGAGAGAGCTTTGGTTAGTTGTTGGCATCCGTCTGTCTTGGGACACAGTGGCTGGAATTGTATCTCACAGGGGGAAAGTGCTCTGCCCAGCAACCACCAGCCCCTGCTTCCAGAAAAGCTGGGGTACTGAAGACATCAAGCAAGTAACCTCACTTATGAATCCTTACATTTATACAGAAATAAATTAATTTCACAGGTGCTCGGCTTGCCTCCAAGCAGATAATTCTGTAGTCCAAGAGGCGTGGGGACTGTATGCCCCAAGATTTTAGGTATCGCTTCCAGA